GACGCAAAGGACAGTTTACATGCAATAACACCTTCTGTCGACAGAACTCTGTCGACAGAAGGCGTTATGCCTCGTAAAATGAGGTTTACCAGCGTCGACAAAACTGCTGAGTTCTGTCGACGTTATGTTGACAGAACTCAGAGGTAGTGTGGACGCAGGTATAGTTTTTTCGACAAAACCCTGTAGTCCACTTTTGTCGACAAAACCCTGTAGTCTAGACACACCAGTACTGCCCTCTCTGGCTCCTCTGCCTGCCGTGCTTGAAGGATTAAATGCTGCCTTCTATCGAGGAAGTCTTCATCCTCTCTGATCGATCGTAGGGTCGACACTTGGGCCTCCAGTCCTCTATTTTTTTCTTCCAAAATGTCGACCAACTTGCACTTTGTGCAGATGAAATCCGTTCTTTCTTCTGGGAGGAAGACAAACATGGCACACACTGTGCAGGTAACAGCATCAGACCCATTACCATCCATCGCTGCTGTCCTGGAGAAGGGATTTAAAAAGAAAGGCAAGAGAACCTCACGCCCGTCCCTTTTCCCTTCAGAACTCCCTCTCTAAACTCCCTGTTAGCACTCGCCTGTTCACAAGCTCCTTGGTCGCTTGCCCACTGCCTTATAAAGCCCTGGAGTGCCTGAAAGTCCCTCCCCCTACCAAGGCTCAGCCAATCAGCAGAGACTTCTAGAATTCAAACTTTAATTAGAAGTCAACAGTTTCCACCTGCCAATCACAGCCAATGACAGCACCTACCAATCACAGCCAATCACAGCACAAACTCCATCAAGGGGAGGGGGAGGGCAAAGGGGAAGTGGGGAAAAAAAAAGCCTCACTCACAAACACAGGGGGAAAAAAACAAACAAAAACAAAAAAAGAACACACACCAACCCTCACTCACAAGCACAAACTCAGCACACAGCAAGAAAGCCCCAAACACAACACACACTTCCCTCAAGAGCCCTGTATCTGCTTCTCCTCCACCTGGAGATCTCCCTCTCTAAAGCCTCACTCAAAAACAGAGAAAAAAACAAAAACAAAAAACAAACAACAACAAAAACCCACCACCACACACGAACAAACACAAGCTCAGCACACAGTAAGAAAGCCCCAATAACAACATACACTTCCCTCAAGAGTCCTGTATCTGCTTCTTCTTTACCTGGAGAACTCTCTCTCTAAACTCCCTGTTAGCACTCACCTGTTCACAAGTTCCTTGGTCTATCTACCTGTCATGCTGTCTGGAGTAGTTCATAATGCAGAGTGCCAACCTCAGGGCTAACTGTCAAAATGCAGGACAGACACCTTTAACAGACGGCTTGTTCTAGAATTAGATTTCACCATTCCCATAACAAATATGAACCCCCAAGGTACTACAATATCCTTATAATGGAGTCACAGTCTCCTTTTGACATTACAGGCTATCTTACCAGCCCAGTAAACTGGACTATGTGATAAATGATCACTTACACCAAAGACCATAAAATGCTCATGTTGCTCTCAGTCCCAAAGATCAGCAACCCTAGATCAATTTGTATTTTAGATCTCACACCAAAGACAATGCTTGTAGCCAATCCTGTGGTACGCTAACTAAAAGATTATTAACTAGTGAAAAGAATGATGTGTACATTAAAATGAGCCAGGATATATACACAATGGGCTTGTCTGTGATTCAAAAGATGATGGTTACAGCAATCTGTCAGTTCAAAATGTCTTTCAGGACTAACCCATGTTAAGCAGCACAGGAATCTCTTTTTGCTTTTGTCTAAGAATCTTTTCCCCTTACAGTTCAGACAGCATGAAAAAGATTAAGTTTTTTCTTGTCTCGGATTTTTATCCTGTCCACTCCAGAGACCAAACTGATGGGATCAGTTCACATGTAATGTCTGTCTTTTTTGGATGTAATTAGGAATGCAGTCAACAGGAATTTTTGGTGCTACACTATTACCTCATTTACCTTGAACAGATCATCTTGTATACAGGGTGATAATTAATTAATGATTTTTCCTCTTTGGTCAGTTACATAGTAAGAGAGGTTTACAATGCAAATACTCAATAAAACTTTATACCATGGACTATAAAGGTGTTAAATGAGATTAAGACAAGCATTTTATCAAATCTAAGCACTAAACACATTCTTATCAATGTAATATCTAATATCTATTTTGATAATGCTAACACACAGGTAAGCAAGACAGGTTTCCAGCTATGTATTTGCAAGTATTCAGTCAAGCCTAGGGCCTTGGCATGAACTCATCTTCCAGCATCACTCTACCTACATACCAGCCCAACAACTGTATCTTCTGATGCCCTCTTTCAGCTTGAAGGTTACAGAAGTTGGTGTGGCCCTCTTCTAGCCATATAAAGTCTCATTTGTACATGATACAGATATCAAGGTGATGCATACCACAAAGAATTTACCCACCTAGAACATACAAGGCTCATTAAAAACACAGAGAAAAGAGTCACTTTTCAAATAATTTAAAAAATATGTCTTGTCAATATTAGTATCGGTTAGACCTCAGTTAATTAACTTTGAAGATTGATAGGGCAAAGGCTTGCAAAGGTATTAAACTTTCTTACACCAAATTTGTCCATTTGTAAATCAGACTGTTGAAGAAGGATCAGGATTCATTTTGAATACTACAGTTGTATAAACTGCACATATTAGGTGTATTTTCAAAGTGCTGAACAGGAATGTAGCTACATGATATACATTTATCATTGCTAGGAATGCCTAAATGTGTCATTTATATTTGGCTTCTATTTGTTTTCTTCTATAATATCTTCTTTATTTCTCTCACAGGTACGCTAGTTCTGCCAGTGACCGTCAAGGGAGCACATCCATGAGGAAGGTAAATAAAATAAAAACAAAAATATTCCAACCAATCCTATTTCATTATTATTATGTATTATTTATTGATTTGTATTATGAAAATGTTTAAGAGTCCCAGTCATGGTCCACGACCCCTTTGTGCTAGGCACTGTACAGACGCCGAACAAAGTCTCTGCCCTAAAGAGCTTACAATCTAAATTCCACTGGCATATTTTGATGTAAAGGATACTCGTGTCTTATAGACTTTGAGTTTCTGTCTGTCCTGATGAAAGACTTGAGAAGTCAAGGTTTCTGAAGTATTAAGGAAATTAAGGGCAATACTATATTTTAATAAAAGAGTTGTCCAGTCTATGCTTTAAAGCTCAAAGCATTGAAAGTGAATTCAAATGAACTTAAAAGGTGGTGGATTAGGCACTAGAAGGGATCTTGTATGTTTTCAAAGGCATGCATGAATATTGGGAGGGGGTTTACTTTATCATGTCCTTGTTAGTTCTAAAAATCTCCACTGCATTTGATCTTTAAACAGCTCCAGGACTTTTATATTTAAATATTTCCCTTCCCTTCTAGAGGCCTAAGTTCTGGCTTGCCCTGTATGTCCTGTCAGGGATGAAGGAACCAAAAAAATTACCCCTCAGACTCTTACACTGCTGCTTTGTCTTGCAGTTTACTGTGCAGGGGTGGGGAGCAGCTTCTGCAACAACACTGCTTCCCATTTCTGCCCCATGCAAAAGATGTGAAAAACCTAACTCTTCCTCTCAGGACACCAGCTGGCACAGCCGTGTCCAATTACTTCCTCCAGGAGCAATGGAGAAGAGGAAACTTTACTCTGCATCACAATTCAATTCCTAGTCTCTGAGTTAATGTAGTTATACTGCCCCATACCTCAGGAAAACTTCACAGTCAAATCCTACATGGTTTATTTTCTTTATTAATTACCTAAATGTAATAAACAGGTAATAGGGTTGAATTTAAGTAATGATAGTGCTATGCAATGGCACAAAATAGTGAAGCAACCTGAGCAAAGTTTCTAGACCACATGTAGTCTTTTAAAACACTTCAGTTTTAATCCATGTAAATATATGGCTTTAAGAATTATATCTTCATAAGAGAAAATTTTATCTGATTTGCATCTTCTTACTTTCATTTTCTTTGTTGATTTTTGTCTGATGGTTTCATTGGACAGAATTCAGCCCTCAGATACAACATTCAGAAATCCTGTTGCACTCAAAGGCTGTTGTGTCCACACATCTAAGAACAGAATACGTTTATCTGCTAGACTTCTGTGAATTTTCATTTCCTTCTGGTTAGGCACCGACTATACACATTTAATTAACAGAACTGAAATACGCTGGACAAAATGCCTTGGTGTCCTATCACATTTTTTGTATATTACTTGAATTAGCATTCTGTTCAAATTAAGATCAACATTTGTAGAAAATTATATAAGGAAGTAGATTTGGTGATTAAAGTTCCCTTAAAGCTTTGAAACAAGAAATAAACTTTTAAAGACACCTAAGAATTGGTTGATATGGGGCTTCTGAAATAGGGCTAAGTCATTTGTTAAATGTGAACATGAGTTTTAAAATTGAAAATAATTTTGCTTTTGTGCATAAAAATGCAGATTACAGATCTGCAAAACAACAAACCATACGAGTCTGGACTAAAACCTCAGATTCCTATGGCTGTAATTAACAATGAATGAACATTAGGGTGTTGGGAGAAATTGTCATCTTGAGAGATTGGGTGATTGGGATTGAGCGATTTCGCCGTTCATGGTTTCACCTGACACTGTCTTGCTGCATTCTGGTAAAAAAAATATGATTGCTAAAGTAACACCTATCCTTAATTATGGCACCAAAAAGAAAAGCTAGTGATGCAGACAATAGTCAAGAAGCTACGAAGGGACAAAAGAAAATGAGTTTAAGCCAGAAAGTCAAATTATTGGATAAGCTTGCAAATGCTCATAGCTAGAACCGGTATTTTCTGAATTTTTTTTACCGGAGAGGAGGCGAAAATACCAGACTGTCTGGGTCAATACCGGACAACTGGCAACCCTACTCAAAGGGGAGTATAATCTCACCTACCAATTAGCACCATTTCCTAGTGCTCTAGAGGTCTTCCATTCTAATAATGCTTTAGCCCAAGCCTACACACCCTTTTTTTCATGTACAACCTTAAGTCAACTTTAGGAAACTTAATATGGTGTGGATACGATACAAAACACCACACTGTAAAAAGTCAGTTCTGATTTGTTACAGCATCTGGAAGCTGAAACTGACAAGATCCTTAATATCTAACACTCAGTAAAACTCCAGTCCTTCACTGAGAATCCTGAAAGCAGACCATAGTTCTGTCCCTAGTACTCAGAATTCAGTGGGGTTCCTTTAGTGTAGTTGTCCATGAAGAACTGTCCAAGTAAGTTCAGTGGGCTGCCTTTATTCAGTGATTGTACAGCTCCTATCACAGTGACAGACTCCTAAGTACTACTGCAATACATGTACTTAGTTTCTCCAATGTACATCATTATCGATTTTCTCTCCTGAAGGTACTGCTTTATATTTCTTTCCAACTCCATTCATAAAAATGCAGTTAGTTCAATAAATTATTACTTCCATGCATATTGCTTGTGCCTGTACAGACGTTGTACTTAAAAGCTTCCCAGCTACTTTATATAATGAAAGATCATCTTAGAATCTGCAGTATTATAAGGATGTATAGTGAATGCTGTAATACTGAGATCTTTTCTGAAAACGCTGGCAAATTTTAAATGCATTCACTATTTCATTCCAAAGGAATACTGGTTTTCTTAAAGTTAAGGAATTGTCCTAGTCTCACAATTCACTTGACGCTGATAAAGGCGGTATTTGATCTTTTAGCAATCATCTTTATAAAGTCATGGAAGTTAGGAGAGATTCCAGAAGACTGGTAAAGGGCAAATATAGTGCCCATCTATAAAAAAGGGAAATAAGAACAACCCAGAAAACTACAGGACTTCTGGGACAGCTCAGGGATCCTGGGTGTGCAGCATGGTCCTTCCGCCCTCCTGTGTCTTCTCCTCCTCCTCGATGCCCTGGTAAGGGCTCTCTGTCCCAGGGTTGATGACCACCTTGGGGGAACGTAACATCCTGCCCCCCGAGGATGCGGTCCAGGGCAAGTGTCTGCCCCTGTTTGGGAGCTTCCCTCTGTGGCCTTGGCATACGCCTGCTGCAGCTCCTTTATTTTCGTGCGAACCTGCTCTGGGGTTTGCATGTAGCGTTTGGTGGCCAGGCTGGCAGCTATCCTTCTATAGATGTCTGCATTCCTCCATCTAGTGTGGAGATCATGGACGTTGGGGGCATCTCCCCAAACCTAAATAAGGTCCATGATTTCCACCCTGGACCAGGAAGGCAGCTGGTCCTGGCAGGCTCCTGGGAGCTGACAGACTACTCCTGGGAAGCAGTGGAGGGCTGGCTGCCCGTGGCTTGCTGGCTCATGTTTTGGGGCCACTGGGTCAGGTGCAGTGACTGCTTGCTCTGGGCTGGCAGGCTTGGAGCTGGCACAGTTACTATGTCCAGAGTCTACCCCTTTAAGGGCTCTGGGGAGGAGGGATGGGAGAGGAGTGTTCATGGTTGAGGCCAGAGTGGCCACCAGGGCACCCTGGGAAGGCTGAAAGTCCCCTATTTCAAAAAAGGTGTCTACACAGCACTTATTTCAAAATAGCTATTTCGAATTTGGTGTTATTCCTCGTAGAATGAGGTTTACTAAATTCAAAATAAGCACTCCACTCTTTTGAATTTATTTTGAAATAGCAGTTTGGCTGTGAAGATGCTAGGAAAGTTATTTCAAAATAAGGCCTGTTATTTCAAAATAACTTTGCTATATAGACATACCCTAAGGCATTAACGAGTCTACTGTGTGTTACATTTTTAAAAAGGGAGAAAAACATAAGGGACAGTGTTTCTGCAGGTGTGTCAGCTTGTGCAAAGATGTCATGTGTGAGTCATGATTCCATCACTGAAAAAATGGAAAAGGCATTAAGCATTTGGATTGAAGACATGGCACAGAAATGAGAACCTATGAATGGTGCTGTAATTCAAGAAAAGGCTTTGAGCTTGTGGAAGCATTTTGCCCAAGCATCCATCAAGGGCAGTAGTCATGACAGTGAAGTATCATTCATGTCAATCAAGGGGTGATTTGACAAATTTTAAAAGAGGCACATTTACACAATGTGAAGTTAATGAAGGAATCAGCATCAGCAGACCATACAGCAGCACAGAATTTTCTCTCATAAGAACAGCCATACTGGGTCATACCAAAGGTCCATCTAGCCCAGTATCCTGTCTGCCAACAGAAACAGGGAATCATCAAGTATCCCTCTCCTGGAAGCCATTTCCAGCCTCTGACAAACAGAGGCTAGGGACACCATTCCTACCCATTTTGGCATCTCTTGCAGTTTCTTAAAATTATTGAGAAAAAAGGTTATGTGCTGCAACAAGTTTTCAGTGCAGATGAAACTGCCTTATTTTGGAAAAGGATGCGCACTAGAATATGTCTTTCTAAAGAGGAAAGGGCAGTTTTGGGCTTCCAGACAGCAAAGGGCAGGCTAACCCTTCTCTGTACTAATGCTGCAGGAGACTACATGGGGAAACTGGATTGCTCTAGAATGCATTGATCCCAAGGGCATTAAAGGGAAAGAATAAGCCCAGTTTGCCAGTTTTTTGCAGGTCAAACAGAAGGGCTTGGGCTGCTGCTGATATATTTTTGGACTGTTTCCACAACTGTTTCATCCATGAGGTAGAAAAATATCTATGGTCCAAAGTGCTGCCCTTCATGGTGTTACTCATTTTGGACAGTGCCCCAGGCCACCCACAAGGCACTCTGCAATTTACCCATCCCGACATGGAAGTGGTTTTCCTGCCACCTAACACAACTTCCCTCATCCAGCCTTTCAACCAAGATATGACTGCTATTTTAAGGCCTATTTCACCAGGCATGGCATCGCTCCGATTCATAATGCTGCGGAAGCTGATGAAACACATG